ATAGCTTATCAAAATTCTCTTGATTGCTCTCAAATGTAGTGGCAATTCTATTCACATTGAAACCAATAGATGATACTGCTGGTTAAGAACATAAGAACATGAGAAGAGCCCTGCTGGATCAGTCCAATGGTCCATCTAGTCCAGCATCCTGTCTCACACAGTGGCCAACCAGTTCCTCTGGAGGGCCAACAACAGGGTATAGAGGCTGAGACCTTCCCCTGATGTTGTCTCCTGGCTCTGGGATTCAAAGGATTAGTACCTCTGAATTTGGAGGTTCCCCTCAGCACAACATGGCTAGTAGCCACTGATAGACTTATCCTCCATGAACATATCATCCCCCTTTAAAGCTGTTTATTCTTGTTGCTATCAATATATCCTTTGGCAGTAAATTCCACATTTCAATCACTCTGTGTAAAGTAGTATTTCCTTTTGTCCATCCTGAATCTACTGCCCATCGGCTTCACTGGATGTCCTCAAGTTTTAGTATTTTGGGAGAGGGAGGAGAAAATTTTCCACCCTAACTCTCTCCACCCCATACATAATTTTGTAAACCTCTATCATGCCCCCCCCTTAGTTGTCCCTTTTCTAAAGTGAAAAGTCCCAGATGCTTCAGCCTTTCCTCATAGGGAAGGTGCTCCAACCCCCTAATCATCCTGGTTGTCCTTCTCTGTACTTTTCCCAGCTCTGCAATGTCCTTTTGGAGATACAGTGACCAGAACTGGACACAGTATATTCCAAATGAGGTCACACCACAGATCTATACAGGGGCATTACAACATTGGCTGTTTTATTCTCAATCCCTTTTCTAATAATTCCTAACACAAGATTTTGCCTTTTTCACTGCTGCAGCACATTGGGTTAACACTTTCATTGAGCTATCCACTATGACCCCAAGATCTCCCCCCCCCCCCAGTCTCAGCAAGTTCAGACCCCATTGGCCTAGGAAGTTGGGATTTTTTGTCCCATTGTGCATGACCTTACACTTACCAGCACTGATCTTCATTTGCCACATTGTTACCCACTCACCCAGTTTGTGGAGGTCCTTTTGGAGCTCTTCACAGTGAGCTTTGGTTTTCAGCATCCTGAATAATTTTGTGCTATCTGCAATTTGGCTACTGTACTACTCACCCCTAGTTCGAGATCACTGATGAATAAATTAAATAGTAGTGGCCCCAATACCAATCCTTGTGGGACCCCACTGCTTACTTCCCTCTATTGTGAGAACTGTCCATTGATTTTCACTCTTTGCTTACTGTCATTTAACCAGTTTTTAATCCATAAGAGAACCCATCCTCTTATCCCATGAGTCTTATTCAGGAGTCTTTGGTGACGTACCTTGTCAAAAGCCTTTCGAAAGTCCAGGTCTACTGGGTCACTACTGTCTACATGCTTGTTTGCTTTCTCAATGGGCTCCTAAAGGTTGGTGAGGCAGGACTTCCCTTTGCAGAAGCCATGCTGATTTTCCCTCAGCAGGCTGTGTCCCTCTATGTACGTAACAATTCTATCTTTGATTACAGTTTCTACTAGTTTGCCTGGGATAAACATTGAGCTGACTGGCCTGTGTCACATTTGCTACTCTCCAGTCGTCTGGTACAGTGGCTGAATTTAGTGATAGGTTACACATATGGGCTAGTAGATCAATGATCTCACATCTGAGTTCTGTAAGAATTCTCAGGTGTATGCCATCAGGACCTGGAGACTTATTGGCTTTTAATTTCCCCAGTAGGTCTAGAATTTAATCTCTGGTCACCTTAGCTCTTCAGACTTCCTTCCTGAAAATAGGGGCTGTGGCATGAGTACCTCCCCCACACTTTCCACAGTGAACACAGTACCTCCCCATCTTCCTTTAGCAGCCCCTTTATTTCTTTGTCATCCAAAGGCCCAACTGCTTCTCCGGCTGGCTTCCTGCTCCGGACAGATTTTTAAAAATGTCCATTGTTTGTCTTGATGCTTTTAGCAACCCACTCCTCAAAATCTCTTGTTGCATGCCTAATTATTACATTTCTTTTCCCAGAGCCTGTGATCCCTCCTGTTCAATTCATTGTGGGCAGACCATTCACTTTTTAAAAGAAGCCTCTTTACTTTGTATAGCTTCCTTGACCTGCGCAGTTCAGCCCTAAGAAGAGTCAGTTGTCTTAGAAAGATGTAATTATGCTTAGGATTTCATTGTGACTAACTCAGAAAGAAGAAGCTTGCAAGGATAGTGCCTAGATGATGCACCCAGCTTGCTTTCCATACAGTCATCTGTACCAAAACACTCTTTTACAGGGAATATAACCAATTATAACGTTTTCTTTCCTTTAAAAATATACTTTTTAAAATTCTGTGGTAAAAGGACTGATTAATTGCTCTGACCCGTCAATTAATGCTTTTAGTACTAATAAAAACTGTTAATGGATAATTGGGAATGAGTCTTTCCCCTGGTAAAATGTGCTTTGCAATAAATTCTACTGGCTTTAAATCTGTTCTTATATTTAAATTTATATCCCATCTTGTCACACAGGCTTAGTGTGGCTTAGAGCATCTTAAAGTGATCAAGGATACACAAAGCACAACTATACACATAAATACTAAGACAGGGCTTGGCAAGTTCCAGCTCTTTTAAATCCTTTAAACCTTTTGCCATTAACCCTGAGAATCCCAATTTGTTGTCTACCTTTCCTGGCTGCCTAGATAATTTTTTTTGAAGTATTTCTGAATATCTAGTACATGATTTAGCCCTTGGCTTTGATCCAGGTGAAACTGTCTGCAACGCCACAAACGCAGCTCAAGACAGAAGTAGGGCGTGTCCCTTTTCCACCTCAGTGTAGTGGAAATGCCCCCACTTTTGTCCTGGCTTTTGTCCACTTTTGTCCTGTGCAAAGGAGGTTGTGTTTGGTGAGCATCAGGATTCACACTGCAGTTTTCAATTCTGAAAGGGAATCCTCGTGCCCAAGTGGCTTCCATGTATTTTCCTTGTCAAACTGGGGCACTTCCTCACACTCACTATCACAGTAGTTCTACGTGGTAATTTGGTAAGGCCTGATTTTAAGAAGAAGAAGAAGAAGAAGAAGAAGAAGAAGAAGAAGAAGAAGAAGAAGAAGAGGAGGAGGAGGAGGAGATTGGATTTATACCCCGCCCTTCACTTGGAGTCTCAGAGCGGTTTACAAACTCCTTTCCCTTCCCCTCCCCACAACAGACACCCTGTGAGGTGGGTGGGGCTGAGAGAACTCTGACACAAACTGCTCTTTTTCAAGGACAGCTGTGCCAGAGCTTGTGACTGACCCAAGGTCACATCAGCAGGTGCAAGTGGAGGAGTGGGGAATCAAACCTGGTTCTCCCAGATTAGAGTCCGCGCACTTAACCACTACACCAAACTGGCTCTCTTTTACTATTATGGTGGAATTTTCTTTACTGTATTTTGCTTTTTTTTTAAAAAAAAAAATGTTTTTCTATGTGGTGACAGCTCCCTGTTTATAACATTTTCATCCCTCCCTCGCTCCCTCGCTCCCTCCCTCCCAGGAGCTCAGAATGGCTACACAATTTAATGCCTGGAGCCATTCTATCCTGACAACCCCTTGGCCTGAGGCCTCCCAATGAGCTTCATAGTAGAATGGATCTACATGGCTTTCAGTGAATTAAAGCAGAGTGCGGATTTGCTCCTCCCAGTTCTAGCACAAGACTGTAACTTCTGCACTCGCTCACTGCGTTCAAGGGAAAAAGGAGAATTCACAGGCTAGATAATTTGGTTCGCTTAGGGTTGCCAAGTATAGCTTACCTCCGCAGTGGGGGACTCCCGGGTGGATCCCAGAGCGCGCACGCCGCATGCACGTCACCAGGAAGTGACGTTATGATGCTGGGCACGCTGGGGGCGGGGCCACGACCATTCAAGGGGAAACCATAGAGTTTCCCTTCGGATGGTCATGGCACCGCCCCCAGCATGCCCGGCGTCATAACATCACTTCCTGGTGACGCACACGCCGGGGTGGGGTTCCCCCCCCGGGACCCAATTCCGTGGTGGCGGAAATTGGACCTCCAAAGCGGGGGTTTACCTGCCCCCACTTGGCAGACCTAGGTTCACTGCTGCCTTCCTCCATGAAACTGCACATCCCTATCCATGCAAGTCAAAGGTTATCACGCAGAGCCGATAAAATGAAATCAATGAGATTGCAAACACCGGTCCAAAAGCAAGGTCTGAACTAGCCTAACTATTCCCTCTTCACAGACAAAAACAGATTTATTTATTATTTAAACGTTTACACCTTGCCTTTCCTCATGGTCCAAAGTTGCTTACCGTAATAGCTAAAAAACTTTTTCAATTAAAACCAAAGATAAAATAGCAAACCCTAAATTTCTTCCCCTTAAAAGGTGTCTGCCATTCAAACCCCCCCCCAAAAGCCCTGGCAAACAGGCAAGGCCTTGCAGTGCCTCCCAAAGGCCTCCAAGGAGAGGGCCCCTCTCGCCTCCTCAGCGAGCCCCTTCTGCAGAGCAAGAGTCAGGATGGAAAAGGCTCAGGCTCTGTCTGGTCTGTCTATGCCAGACAGGCCACCCTAAGTGGTAGAATAGCCAACAGATGGCTGCCAGATGACTGCATTTGGCCCATAGGGACAGTGCGAAGTAGTAAAATGCTAAGGTCATTTTTTTTAAAAAAAAGGTCCATTGGTGAGCCGGGACAGCTTTGAGGCCCAGGTCAAATATTCTTTTCAGTGTCTCATGGTCACAAATACGATGGCAAAAATCAACAAATCTAATATGCCCAACACACTGGACACTTGTACACCAAATAAACTACAAGTACATATACTTAAATATAACTATATGACCCAAATAAGCCCAGACACTAGGTATGCATCTAGACAAAAAAAAAAGAACTGCTTTGCGTCACTGTGGAAAGTTCCACCATCGTCGAGACCCGTGAAAACTGAAGCTTCTGTTAAAACCATAGGCGCCAGAATCCTGGAATCGTAACCCACCGACCAAATACTCAACAGAGACAGCGATGAAGCAGAAACGACACTTACTGAGGTCGCAGCGGATTCCGTAGTACCCTGGCAAGCAGCCACACTGGCCCGTGACGTGGTGGCACTCTTCATTCTTGCCAGAACACTGACATACTTGGTTACAGTTCTCCCCGTATGTGCCTGGCAGACAAGCTGAGGGAAGAGGAAATGTAAACCAATGAATTACATTTGTCTTGGTAAACACACTGCTCAAACAAAGAGCGGGGTAGCCTTTATTCAATAAGACCACTGCCTGCAGAAGAATGCTGCCCGCTGGGACTTTGGGTTTATTACGTTTGCTTGGGGATTACTTTGCTGTTTGATTTTGTTTTGCTCAAGTCAATTTGTGCCCGGCTGTCAAGGGCCAGTTGCAATTTTCTTGTCACTTAGAGAAAGTCATAGGTTGATGTCAAGGAAAATCGACTAAAACAATAAACTCAGTAGAGCCGTCCCCCCCCCCCTTACATATGCATGGCGGCTGTCTCCTCAGCAGATGCCTGAAACCTTCTAGACAGCTTCAGGGGCTTAAACACTTTTGTTCTTGGATCTCTCCCTTGTCTTGACCCCTCCCCACCCCCCAAGCTCATGATTCATGGTATGCATGGGACTTCCCACCACAAACATACGGTCAATGTTTTATTTCAAGGAACACATTACAGTAGGGCTTCTTAAGAGATGGCTCATGCTTACAACTGCCTGTGCATTTTAAGGACATCAGTGATGTGTTAAGTATTTCATTGCAGTTTGTTTAAAAACTGGTGTTCTGTATTATAAGTTATGTCTTAAGTGTTGTTGGAAGCCGCCCTGACCTGGACGGCCCAGACTAGCCCAGCCTCATCAGATCTTGGAAGTTAAGCAGGGCTGACCCCGGTTAGTACTTGGATGGTTAGCACTTGAGCCCCAAGAACTTGGGGGAGGGCGGTCTAAAAATCAGATTTATAAATAAATAAACAAATAAATAAGGGAGGGGTTGTGGCTCAGTGGTAGAGCTTCTGCTTGGCAAGCAGAAGGGTCCCCGGTTCGATCCCCGACATCACCAGTGAAAAAGACCATGTGATATGGGAGACCTCTGCCTGAGAAGAAGAAGAAGAAGAGATTGGATTTATACCCCGCCCTTCACTACCCAAAGGTGTCTCAGAGCGGCTTACAAACTCCTTTCCCTTCCCCTCCCCACAACAGACACCCTGTGAGGTAGGTGGGGCTGAGCGAGCTCTTGACAGAAACTGCTCTTTTTCAAGGACAGCTGTGCCAAAGTTTGTGACTGACCCAAGGTCACATCAGCAGGTGCAAGTGGAGGAGTGGGGAATCAAACCCGGTTCTCCCAGATTAGAGTCCAGTGGGTGCCAGGAAACATACCAGCAGGCTCCATGGCAATTACTGAGATAAGGCATAAGATTAGGAAGGTGTCGGTCAGTTGCAGGTATTCTCTGGAAATTTTGCACAGTTTGTTCGCCTAGGCTGTTCATCTTGCTATCAGATTTAGAGGGATCATTGTTGTCCAGATGTTTGGCAACTTGGACTGCAGGGAATCCCACAGTTTGCAGTTGGATACCCATTGGTGCCAGCAAGAAAAAGGAAACCCAGATGAAAACAAAAGAGAAAAAAACCCAATTGCTGTTCACTATCCTACAATCATGGAGCTCAATGTTTGAAACATGCACTTTTCTTGACAGGCTGACCTCATTTCCCAATGCCCACAGTTAACTTTTTTGCTCCTCTTTCCACTTAATCTCCCCCAGTTCTCCTCCTTACTACAACCCCAGTTCCACATGGGTGCTGGCCATATAGGTCCCACAGTCCTACATATGTAGCCTTGATTAGTGGTTGAAGGGTATACTGCTTTCCTTTTCCTCCAGCTGAAATGCTGACTGGATCAAACCCAATTTCTTGCCCAGCAGCAGTTTCCAAGTCCATGCTCACATCTTCTTATCCAGTTGTGTAGGACAGATAAACTGTGAAAAGCTAATGTCCAAAAGGTAACAGTTTGATTTAGCGTTGGGAACAGGGAATAGAATTTATTTCTTTTGAGGCTTTGTTTCAGGTTGCCAGCAGATTCAAAATAAGCATCCACCCAGTCTACCCTCAACTGAACTGGTACCTATGTGGTGCAAAAAAAAAATGACATGGGACCAGTCTGCCACACTTCCACAGAAGCCAGCCACAGACCACAAATGAAGCTGTCTTATACAGAGTCAGACAATTAACCTAACAAGGTCAGTTCGATCTATTCTGACCAGCAGTGGCTCTCCAGAGTCTTAAAAGGTAAAGGTTCCCTTGCTCGAAAGCCAGTCGAGTCCGGCTCTAGGGTTGCGGTGCTCATCTCCGTTTCAAAGCCGAAGAGCCAGCGCTGTCCGAAGACGTTTCCGTGGTCATGTGGCCGGCATGACTAAACACCAAGGTGCATGGAACGCTGTTACCTTCCCACCGGAGTGGTACCTATTTATCTACTTGCAATTACAGAGGTATTTCATATCACCTACTACCTGATCCTTTTAACTGTAGATGCTGGGGACTGAACCTGGGACCTTCTGCATGCCAAGCCGATGCCCTATCACTAAGCCACAGCCCTTCCCCTACCAGACACCCAGGCCAGCTCATCCTCCACCTTTTCTTGAGTGGTGCCCTTGACAAACAGAATCTTCTGCTTCGATGTCCAGTTCTTTGGTTTAAACAATCTAATGACTCCAAGCCAACTGAAGGAAATGAAGTTGCTTTTCACAGAAGCTTATTCTGCAAGCGATCCCTTCTGTGGTCTATCTATGGCACAGTAGACTTGCTGCTCCCTTTGGCCAAATGGTTTTTGCATATAACACTCCACAGAGTTCACTATATGGTTTCCAGAGTGTAGGCACCAGTCAGGCATGTTCTGAAGAAGTTCTGTTTTGTTTTGTCGGTGGAAGGTTCCCAGTTTGTTTATAACTTTCCTTTTGGGATAAAGAAATTAGTGAGGGCACTGAGTTTAGAAGCAACCGGGGTAAAAAGACAGAAAATGAAGAAATATGGATGACATTCCTCTGAGGAAACTGTCTACCCTGCGTCACAACTTCTTACCCAACTGATTTCTCAGCATTCCCTGGACTACAACGGCAGAACAACCTCATGACTCACTTGTTTTGCTTGGATAGGTTTCTTTGCCCATAGGACAGTCTTTGGACACCACAGAACTAGTTTTATTCCTCCATGAAAAAAACAACAACATCCCACATAAGAGGACTTACTTCTTTCACAGCCACTGCCCACAAAACCCGGAGGGCAGCCACACTCTCCGGTCACGTGGTTACAAGGGGTGCCAGGAGGGCATTTGCAATGCTCAGTGCAGTTCCTACCATAAAAGCCAGGCAAACAAGCTGGAAAATAAAGAACACCCCAAAATAATCTTTAGCAAAACTACAAATATGCTTAGTAACATCAGTCAGATATGCCCTTTGGTACAATAAAGTTGGAAAGGAAATAACAAGACTTACCAAGAAGCTGTCAGTCAGAGCAGGCAAAACTGAGCTGCCTGTCAGAAGGCAGCTTCATGTGACTGTGTGCGTATGCAACATGTTTTTGTGCAATAACAGGATTTGAACTGGAAACAACAGGCTTTTAAAAGAATGACGTAGATGTATATTCTAAATATCAGGCTACGCAAAGCATTTAGTCCATTTGTGAGCTACTCAAGGTCTATGACAGGGATGGAGCATGAAGTCAAGTAGCAATTACCTACTGTGTTTGAGACACAGCATAAAGGAAAACTGGTTAGCTCAGTGGTTCCAAACCCCAAGGAGACTGCAGAGTTATTGCAAGGGGTCCACAGATCCAGGGCTTTTTTGGTAGAAAAAGCCCAGCAGGAACTCATTAGCATAATAGGCCACACCCAGCAACAGAAACTCATTAGCATATCCAGCCACACCCATGAGAGCATATCTCATTGGCATATTAGGCTGCACCCCCATGTTACCAGAAGTATAGTCATCCAGCCACACCCACCTTTTGCTTCTTATTTTGTTTACCTTGTTTGTTGTCAAAACCTAGGGCTTTTTTTGTAGCAGGAACTCCTTTGCATGTTAGGCCACACCCCTAATGTAGCCAATCCTAATGAGTTTCTGCTGTTAGGTGTGGCCTATTATGCTAATGAGTTCCTGGTGGGCGTGGTCAACTTGGGAGCCAGCCGGAACTCCGTTCCTGTGCGTTCCTGCCCAAAAATAGCTTTGCACAGATCCATCCATCTAAGGTAGGTTTCTGCCTTCCCCCACCAGTGCATTCCCCTTGGGCTCACCTCCATGGTGGCCATGCCCCCCCAACTCTGTTGGTCCGCCTGCTGGCTGGGCTTCATTGGCCAGCTGGGGCCATAAGCTTCAACGGGATATGGTGTCTCCCTTTCAACCACCCCAGACAGATCATGCATCTGAAGTGAGATCTGACTCAAGAAAGCTTATCCAGGGATCAACTGAGCTACTTATTAAAGTTGCCAATGGACTTCTCATTTATTTTGCCACCTAAATTAGTAATCACTACATTACCAGCTGTGGAAAAGACCTGCCACTCAACATATGTGACCACAGATCTGACAGGATATTCTAGAGATGAGTTCCCCCTTCCTCCAACCCAAGTGGCATCACTAAGGTCATGGGGAGGGGGGCAGGAAGCAGCCAGGCATCCATAGATCATGCCCAGATCAAGCACAATTGAGAATTCTCTCCACAAGGAACATTCTGTATTGCACTTTAATCATTATTTGAGTTAGATTCTGATACTTGTGAGCTCCTTTGGGAGCCAACTTACCACTGAAAAGCAAGGTTAAAATCATAATAAATAAGCCTTCACCAATTTTTCTGTTAAGGATTGATTGGGCAACCAAGTGAATTTCTATGACTACAGACTAACTGCTGTCTTAGTAAAGGGGTCATTTGAGGCAGCTACATCAGTAATTCTAAAACATAAATACATATGAAGCTTTCTTATCTGGGAGAACCAAGTTTGATTCCCCACTCCTCTACTCACAGCTGCTGGATGACCTTGGGCAAGCCATAGTTCTGTCAGAGCTGTTCTTTCAAGGACAGTTCTGGAAAGAGCTCTCTCAGCCCCACCTACCTCACAGGGTGTCTGTTGTGGGAAGGGGAAGGGAAAGGAGTCTGTAAGCTGCTCTGAGACTCCGAGTGAGGGGCGGGGTATAAATCCAATCCTTCCCCCCTCATCAACTCATTGGTCTGTATGATCTACCCTTTAACCAGACTTCTAGTCTCTGAAAGCTGCAAAACAGCAACAGCCGCTTTGGGGACCCTAACTGAGTGGAAAGGTGGCATAAAAATGCTTTAAATAATACATAAGCAAATATGCATCCCATCGTCCAGATAAATAATGCTTTGCACACATCTGTATTACTAACTTCCAAATATACGTAGATGCTGTTGTGATTAATAAAATACCAATTCATTTGAAAGCATTACTGAATTCATAGTAGCTTTTTGCCATTATGCATTTTCTCAGTCAACTGATATTAATAGTACAGTAAATATCACGTGGTTTCAGAGGATAACTGTGTTGGTCTGCAGCAGAACAGCTAGATTCGAGTCCAGCACCACCTTTGGAGACCAGCAAGACTGGGGTGGGTGGGTGTTATAAGCATCTGAGAGTCAAAGCTCCCTTCCCTGAGTCCTTATAACCCACTTAGAAGGTGGGAGGGGGCATCGCAAAGAAGGAAGTCTGGATGCAGAGGCACAATGCGAAATGTAATGTAGGGCTCTGCACAATTTTTTTAATGTTTAAAGGGGTCCTCATACTCAAAAAGGCTGGGGACCGATGAGTCAGATGAATTAGCAATGCTGATTCTGTGAACTGAGGCTGATCACGAGAGGGAGGGCAGGGAGGGTTGCATCAGTGCTTAGTTCTCGTGGTCCTTTCTTACACGCCAAGGGAAATGCTGATCGCCACTTTAAGGTCAGGAAGCAATTGTTCTCCAGGCCAGTTTTGGCCAGGGATCCTGGGTTTTTTGTTTTTTGTCATCTTTTGGGCATGGAACGGGGGTCACTCTGTGTGTGTGTGGGGGGGAAGTATTTGTGAATTTCCTGCATTGTGCAGGGGGTTGGACTAGATGACCCTGGAGGTACCTTCCAACTCTATGCTTCTATGACAGATTTGAAGAGACAGAAAGAAGACATACCTTGAAAGGGGGAAAAAGGAAGAAAGGAATCACCAGACCTGAAAGGACAGCAAAGTGTTAGAGAACAAAGAATGTGATGCAGTAATTAATATAATGTGGTAAGATGGAAGCCCTAAAACCACTTTGCTAAATTTTTACTGAAGTCCCATCAGCAGCGGATTGGACATTAGAGCCACTTGGGAAAAGTCCAGTGGGCTGGTAGCCTGAGACAGGTCTCTTCTAAGCCACCCTGCCCACCTCAGGAGGAGATCAGGCAAGTGAAAACACTGCCAGGCAAAGACAGGTGGCACAGTGCCTGGCCTTGTTCACCCCTGCGTGGGCTGTGGTTTTGGGCCTGCCCCGTTGTTGATGATCCACAGCTGTGCTGACTAAGGTGGTCAGTGATCAATGAGAGGCCGGGTCAGGCAAGGATGGGCCAAGGCAGGCAGGCAGGCAAATGCAGCCTTGCATGACTGGCCCTCCTTTCGGCAAGGGGGTGGGGAACTTTGAACTGCCCAGTCTACCCCTGTGTCCCATTAAAATCAATAGAAACACTCCAGCATAAATGATATTGATGCTGACATCAGGTAGTACATTGGAAGCAAGTGCTGCTGTGTTCAATGGTCCTTACTCTCCATAGAATATATTCAGGGGCAAATTTTCTCTGATGGTATACTGGTAGTACAACACTTTTGTGTTAAGCAGAGAACCAATAGTCATTTGTCCTGTTCGTTTTGTTTTGCTATATAAACAGAACTTCATTGACACAGATGATGCAATGTCTTTCACTTAACGCCTAATATTCATTCTTTCAGAGTCGTGCAAAATCTCACGCAACAGTAATTTTAGTGCTCAAGTCTTTTACTAAGAGGGTCTAATTTTTCGATGTCACAAAGGATGTCGACATCCCTATTTGCTACCAATTTTACTATATTTTCATTATAGTCATTCACATTGCAATTACAGCATTCGATAATTTTTTAAAAAGTTTGCTGAGGTTGTCCTATGGCTAGGGTAGGGCAGAGCTGCAGGACCGTCCACGATCTTTAAAAAATGCAGTTGTGTAATTGCAGAAGTGCTGTTCCATTGCAAGAAGCAGCACAAATACAATATCAACCATGACATATTTTAGAAAGTTAAAGGCACCATAACTCGAGGGCATCCAATGAAACTGATGGGCAGTAGGTTCAGGGCGGACAAAAGGAAATACTACTTTATACAAAGAGTGATTAAAATGTGGAATTTGCTGCCAGAAGATGTAGTGATGGCTACAGGAATAAACAGCTGTAAAAGGGGATTAGAGAGATTCATGGAGGATAGGTCTGTCAATGGATCTCAGAGCCAGGAGACAACATCAAGGGAAGGCCTCAGCCTCTAAGCTCTGTTGTCGGCCGTCCAGAGGAACTGGTTGGCCACTGTGTGAGACGGGATGCTGGACTAGATGGACCATCAGTCTGATCCAGCAGGGCTGTTCTTATATTCTTATAACACTAAAAGCGTATTTCTTACCAATATCACAATGGTCTCCAAGCCACCCTGGATGACAAGAGCATTTCCCTGAACGATGGTCGCAAATCCCACCATTGCTACAGCTACAGTTCTGCTGGCACTCCTCTCCGTATTTCTCAGCTTCACATTCTACATTGAAACAAAAAGGCTCTTCATAGTTGCCACGTTGTGTGAATGGAGACACAGCTCTGAAATGTACAAACTAACCTGATTTTTCAGAGTTCACACTCATGCAAACTGAGGCTATATACACATGGTACACACATGCATGGTAAATGTGTGCATTGCCCCATTCATATAACATGTTGACTGCACATATTAGGAGGATCATGTGGAGGTTAACACCCTGAACGCGTGCAGTTGGTAGGCTCTTAGTACATTACGTGTCATTTGCTTGCTCCTAATAAAAGGTATTATGGGGATTGCTCTCGGATATCTTCATAGGGATGACAGCAGTGTTCCCTCTAAGCCGAGTTAGTGTGAACTAGCTCACAGTTATTTAGCCTCCGGCTCACCCATTTTTGTCTTGGCTCCAGAGCAAACTAATTTATGCAGTATCCAAATCGCTCGCTCATAACTTTAATACCAGTAGCTCACAAAGTTGAATTTTTGCTCACATGACTCCACAGCTTAGAGGGAACATTGGATGACAGTAACATCCAAAAAGGGCTTAGACAAAATAAACTGTAAATGAAACTTCCTAGGAAAGAGAAC